TAAGATTGGGGGGGACGCGAAAACCTGTCGGGTCCCCCCGGCGCCGGGGTTGTTATCGATCACGAACTGGACATTGGCACCATTTGCTCTTAGGGTTTGCAAATAGTTTTGAAGGAACACAAAGGGGTTGAAGGCGTCGGGGTCCTGAAACGGCGAGGAGCGTGCGGGTGCGCCGCCGAAGAGGGCAGAGAGATCGTCGGAGAAATTTCCAGGGCCGGGAGCGGAGAAGAGGAGGGGAAAGCCGCTGGAGGCGAAGGGAGGAGCGTCGGAGGAGGGGACGGAGAAGAAGGGATTGGGGGGAAAAGTGTTAGGGTTAGGGGTTTCCATCTCTTCGACGAAGCCACCGCTGCAAATAGGGCAAACGAGATCGGACGTAGGTGGAGGGGTGAGGGAAACCGTACGATCGCACTGGTGGCAAAAGTAAAGCTGAGGAGGAGCGATCGGGCCACCAACACCGCCGGAGTTGCCGCCCGAGGACGACATGTCGCTTTGATTGAGAAAGAAAGAGAGTTTCGACAGGCGAACGATTTATATGGAGGACGAAACGAGGAAGACCGGAAACTGAAGGAGGGAGGGAGGGAGTTTTTCTTTTTAGAGAGAGAGAGAGAGAGAGAGATTGTGGAAAGTTGAAATAAATAATAAATGGATGAATGGTGAGTGTTTAGGCGTTGTTCGCGAGTGTACGCCGATATACTAGTATACGACGGATGAGGGTGAGGGTGACTAGGAGCGGACTCACAGTCCTAAATTCCTAATATGACACAAATTTATTTACGTCCTATGGTTTTTAAGTTACAAATTCTTTTTTCCCACTTTTCCGTATCTATCCACAAACAACGGCAATTTTCCTTTTTCTTTTTTCTTCTTTCTTTTTGAACATTACAAGTAATTTATTTATTTACGTGTAATTTATTTCCTTTAAAGCACTTCCACCCATTTATCATGGCAAAGGGTACGGGCAAGTAAGGGCGGGTACTGTTTACATGAATAGTATATGCCCTAACAATATTTTTGTTGCTTTTCCAATCATTGCCATGGCAATCTAAGGGCAATTACTATTCATATGAGATTATTTTTATTTATATGTATGAGATTAATAATTAAAAAATTGCTAGGTATGTATAAAAAAATATTATGTATTTTTTGGTAATTTTTCAGAATTTTTTTTCTATTTTTGTAAAATTATTTTTTTCGTTGACGTCACAGCCCTCATGCAACAGCTCAGACTATTCTTGTCTTTAGACTTGTCCAATCTTGGTGGACACACCATTTTCCATTGCTGGAATGGGTTTTGGAAACCTAGGGGGCCTTGTACTCAGGCTAGCACTAACACTGGAAGTGCTCTTACATGCCAACTCTTATGTTCTAATGCTTGATTAATGAATTGTCATTTGTTCTTAAAAAAGAGGGCATGATCATGTTTGGGCTAGTTTCATCTCTAAATAATGATAAAACTAATTAATTATTAAGGGTTTAGGGGATTTAAGCCTAAGCTCAACCCTAGTTTTTTTTTCTTTTTTCTATAGTGATTTAGCTTAATGACAATATAAAGCTATAATTACTTTTATTGTTTCATTTTTTAGAACTTGTATTTACACACTTTTCAAATTTAATAGTCATGCAAAATGAAACACAACAATTCTACACTTGAAAATTGAAACAAACACATCAAAAATTTCTTACTTATAATCTTATGGAGCCAAAATCATCAACCTGACAATCTGGATCATTTTTTGGAACACATATAAAGTGAACATTGCATCCATCATTATAATTTCTAAATTAAATAAAACCAAACTAATCACGATCAATTCAGTTCAGTGTAAAATTATGCTTGTTTGGTGTTGAAACCGAACAAAACTAGTCATATTGGAGTCGGTTTGAACAGTTTGGTTGGTTTGATGCCCACTCATAATTATGAAACTCTACCAAAGTTCCTGAAATAGATTTCAGTTAACAACATCTCTCAAGAACAAAAAAATATGTTGGAGCTGCAATCTTCCTTTAATTGGATACTCTACGTTATAATGAGGAAGTCCTTAATACCATGGATGAATTGCATCTAGTGTTGGACGTATGGAGGGTCTACTTTTTATAGCTTTTAGTATTTTTTTGCCTTACTGGGCTCGAAAACTGATGCATATGGGGGCCGATTAAGTTGCAAGGAAAGGCTCAAAGAGGCTCTGATCCGTGAAGAAGCAGTCCGCCCATAGTTGAATTTCCGTTGCAAGACGAGCGCTTGAGTTTGAATAGGGAATGAAATCAAATTTTGCCAGAATCGCGATCACAGATCATATGACTACTTGGCTTACCCGCCAAGAAAGAAATCAAATACAAAAGAAAGTAGAGTCTTTAAGGACAATATAGTTCATTACTCGATCTCACAGTAGATTGAAAAAAAGTTGATCCCCCGTCACTCCATTTCATTTCAAGCAAATCTTTTGAGGGCTAGAGTTGGTCAGTGGCCTTTTTCCAGTTCAATCCAACTGGATCCAGGCAATTTCTTTACATCCCTAGACTCCATTAGTTTCCTCAGCATCCCAGCACTGTCCCAGTTGCTCAAACCAGCAAACATGTTTGACAGTAATACATACGTTGATGGGTCTGTTCTGTTTATATCTAATGCATGCTCTGCTGCACGCTTTCCAGTTTCTGTATCGCCATGAACCTGACAAGCACCGAGCAAAGTTTGCCAAACCAGAACACCTGGTTTAAAGGGCATGTTCCGGATAAATCGCTCAGCTTCCTTTATACGTCCAGCTCGGCCTAGAAGATTCACCATGCATGCATAATGGTCTTCTCCAGGGGAGATTCCATGGTTATGAGTCATGGAGGCAAAATACTCCCATCCTTCATGAATAAACCCTCCTTGGCTACATGCATAAAGCAGGCATATGAAAGTGATGTAATTTGGCTCAACACCTTCCTCCAGCCTCATCTTATCAAAAATGTCAAGAGCTTCTCTAGCTTGCCCATTTTGTGCGCACCCCATGATCATTGTGGTCCATGACACCACAGAACGATCCTTCATTGACTGAAAAACACACCATGCACCCTTCATGCATCCACATTTTGCATACATGTCTAGCAGAGCGTTATCCACGCACGCATCAACATCAGTGCTAGTTTCGAGTTTAATTCTCAAGCCATGGAATTTCTTCCCTTCATCCAAGGAAGCCAAATTGGCACAAGCATTCAGGGCAGTTGCAAGCGTGAACTTGTTTGGCTTTATACCCACTTTCTTCATTTGAGCAATAACCTCAAGCGTTTTGCTTGGTTCCCCGCATTGTAGGCACCCGGCAGCCATTTGGGTCCATGAACACACATCTTTTGAAGGCATCTCATCAAAGGCTTTGAAGCCATCCACTAACTTGTGATTTTTAATGTACATATCAGCCAAAGAGTTCCCCACACACATCTCAGCCCCATGACCACACCTGACAAGCTGTGCATGAACCTGGACACCCATTTTAAGATCTGTGAGAGCAGCCAACCCAGTGAGAACACTCGAAAATGTGTAGCCGTCGGGTTTCACTCCCTCGCGATTCATACGACACCAGAAGTTTGGTATTTCCAAATAAGAACACTGCAAGTAGCCAGCCATGATAGCATTCCAAGACACAATATCTTTATTGGGGCAATTCTCAAACACTTCCAAAGCCTCTGTTAATTCCCCCTGTCTTACTAAAACAGTCAAGAATGCATTCATCAGGAAAGCATTCCACTGGAATCCTAGGCGAACTATGAATGCGTAAACTTGGTAAGCTTGAGTCAGATTGCCATACAAGGAACATGCGTGGAGCGCGCTAACCAAGGTAAACTCATTGGGCTTGGTCGTGCCATCCTGGTGCATACGACCAAACAAAGATAGGGCTTCTTTAGGACAGCCATGTTGGACAAAGCCCGTAATAACCGCAGACCACGACACAACATTCTTGTGAGGCATTTCATCAAACAGTTGGAGACCATTGCTAAGATCGCCACATTTAGCATACATGTTGAGTAAATTATTTTGAAGAAAAGGAGAAAAGGGCAGAGAGCCCTTGATGAGTTTTGCATGAATTGCTCTGCCATGGGGTAAGTTAGAGGTTTGGCCACATGTACGCAACAAGTCGGAGTAAGTCTCTTCCTCTGTGGCCAAGATGTGTGTGGATTTTGATGCGGCAAGCGTAAATGTGTCTCCAAAAAGAGCACGACTACCTGGGCGCGGGCGGAGCATCTGTCTACTTAATTTAAATTTTTTGTCTAACGTGATGATTTACACACATGGTCTATCATTTCTACTGCTTCTAGCCTTAGTCCAGCTTTTGACACCGGATTTTAGCAGCAAAAAAAACTTGTTACTTTGTTACATAAAAATAATATGAGATTAATATTTCTTGTCTAAATTTATAGGGGGCGTTTGAACTCGGTTGCAATGAAGCGGTCACGTTGGCTTGAACAATGGTTGTACAATTCATAATTCACTTCACATCCAACACAAGGGTATTTTTATATTTTTTTTTAGTGGAGTACAAGCGATAGTGTAAACTAGAGGGGATGAGGATTTCTCACACACACATCTACAATGCCATGACCGTGGGGATTCCCTTTTCCATTGGAATAGACCCAGTATTTTTACTTTTATTGTTCTTTATAGTTACATAACATTTCCGACACGCAACTACATGTGCATGTTGCCAAAAGATGAAGGTAAAAAGGTATTGCATATGAAAGAAGACCATAGCAGTACCCTTGCAAGCGAGGAGATGAACATGGACTCTGAAGAAAGAGTTCCCTTCCCTGAATAATATTCTTGAAATGAAGAAGGTACAGAAGCAATCCAGAAACCTTAGGAAATAAAAAAAGAATGATTCTCTCTCTCTTAAAAGGACAACCATAAGAAACCTCTAATATCAGCTAGCTATATAGTTAGCTTGGTGCCTTTGTATTCATTCATTCCCCAGCAAAAAAATTGGGAGTATAAATAGAGACATAGAGACATGCCTTAGAATAGATCTTCCTTAGTATCAAGAATTAATATTTCTCTAACATATATATATATCTCGACATCAATTCTTGTATTCTAAAGTCTAGATATGACCATGGAAAACAACGCCGGAGCTGAACCCCAACGTATTTATGAAGACTTTGAACCCTACTGCAAATGGAATAAGCCAGACACGGTTGAGATCCAGCTTCCATCTGGTATGTATTTGTAATTTGTACTAGCTAGTAAATTAGTTTTTGTATTGGGTTTATATAGGTAAGCAAGGGTTTATATATAATGAATTAATGTAGTTGTGTGTGTGTGACTGTCATATCAGGTTTCAGAAAGGAACACCTCAAGGTCCAAACCAATAATGTGGGGATACTTACAATCCATGGAGAACGTCCCCTGAGTCTCATGAACACATGGAGCCGCTTCCACAAAGAAATCAAACTTGCAGACAAGAATTGCGATCCAAATGAAGTTCGTGCCAAGCTTGCGGGAGGAGTTCTTACAGTTACGATGCCTCAGAAAGTTTCCAACGTCCACATTTCCAATCCTCCTCCCAAGAACACTACTACTAGTACTCAAAAGGAAAAAATAGTGGTACCAGCTGATCATCTTCAACAAGACAAAACCACAATTAAAGACCAAATAAGTGATTACAATAATAATAATTATAATAATGAATGTAAAGGCCAAAGGACTTCTTCTTGTGGTACCAGTACTGCTTTACTTTCAAGATCCAAATTAGTGGGAAAAAATGTTGCGCTCAAGCTTGGGGTGGCGGTGGCAGTGGTGGTGGTCGCTTTTGGTTTCGGGGCACTTGTTGTCAAATATTGCAAACATGGACACCCATATTCCTATTCCTATTAGTTATTTGTTTCCAAAATTAGATTCAAACTCATGATCATCATGTTAAACTTACACTTATGTATATTATATATATACTATCATTTAATTAAGGTACCTAGCTCCGTCCAGCTTTTAATTAACTAATAAACATGCCCCTTTGAATTTGAAATTACGGGTGTATGATTCGTATATATGAATATATTCATATGGTTATTCTTCTGTATGTTGATTTCTACATGCTGTTATGTTAGAGATAAATAATTCTATCATTCAATAAATGTCAACAATTGCGGGGATAGCTCAGTTGGGAGAGCGTCAGACTGAAGATCTGAAGGTCGCGTGTTCGATCCACGCTCACCGCAGACTTTTGTTTTTTCCTTCCCTTTTTTAATCTTTGTTTTTATTTTCTTCCATTTTTCATATATCTCTAAAAGAATTATTAAGTGAATGCACAGCCTCAACCTCCTGACTGAGTAGTGTGTGAGTATTGTGTTTGTGCTGCAGCTGGAGTGAGTGAGTATAGGGAAGGAAGGAAAAAAGAAAAAGAAAAAGAACAATGGGTTCAAGGGGAGGAGCGAAGGTTTTGCAGCTGTCTCGAGCGAGCAGAATGAGGACGAAATTGCAGACGGCGTTGGAAGCGAGCGTTTTGGAGATAGAAGACGTGTCTCATCAGCACGCAGGCCACGCCGCCATGAGGGCCAACGCTAACAACAAGGATGGCGAAACGCACTTCAACCTCAAGGTCGTGTCCCCGAAATTCGAGGGGCAGAGCCTGGTGAAACGACACCGCATGGTGTACGACGCCTTAGCTGACGAGCTCCAGTCTGGTCTCCATGCGCTGTCTATTGTGGCCAAGACTCCCCAAGAGATTGGCCCCAAATAAGCTCTTCTAATTTCCACCTGATATTTCCTTCCTTGTCACTGTTTATGAGGGTTTCTCGTTCTATCTTTTATGAATCGATTTATCAGATGATGTATGCATTTTTACTGAGTCGAACTTTGAAATTGAAATACCAATCTCTTTCAGAAATATGCGTTATAATTTTACAACTATAAATTTGTCATCTGGATTCTGTTGTTGAATGTGTAGCAGGGCATAATGCTTGCTTTTTGCGGTGAGATGGTCAGTCAAAATTCAAAACTCAAATAGATTTATATATATATAGTATAGTTGGAAGGAAAATGGAAAATTGAAGTAACACTGACTGTGGCATGTTTTAAGGAATGCCAACCGTTTCCCCTTGGAATTTGTTGAGCCTCTACCTTCATTCAAGACTCAATCTGCGTCTATCTCTGTCTGTCTGTCTGCTTGCCTCTCTCTCCTTCTCTCTCTCTCTCTCTCCGCGTTGCTTCTGTTGTCTATGTGTTATTGTGTTGTCGTTGTTTCAGGTTCCATATCAACCAAACCAACACAGTAACGAAGGGAGGCACACTCGCAATCAACAATGAATGACAAAGCCTCCGTTTCCAAGGAGCTCAACGCCAAACACTCCAAGGTCTCCTTTCTTTATCTGTTTCAACTTTTTTTTATTAATTTGACATTCATCTATTACAATTGCAATTATTCTGTCTGCTGTGTTGTTACATGCGCGTCCAGCTTTTAGAAGGTCTTCTTAAGCTGCCGCAAAACAGGGAATGTGCTGATTGTCGGAGCAAGTACGCATTTCGCAATCCATTTCCTTCTTTAATATGTCGTCTACCTTTTTTTTTCTTCTGTCTTAAAGTACTTTAATTTGCTACATTTCATAGTATTTGGTTAAAATCCGATTATTTGATGGCCATTTCTTGATGATGCTTAATTAAATTTAAGGCAGACTCATATCTGCGAATTTCTCTCTCTTTCTTCTTGTGTACACAACCATGTTCATGTTCCTGTTCCTGTTCCTGTTCCTGTTCATTTAGTTTGTAGGTAGTCATCATCTCTCTGACTGAGGTCTCATTTAGGAAAACAAGCATGCGTGCACAAGTAGAATAATTTTGTATAACACACAATCTTGAAATGGAGAATCCTTTGAGTTAGAGTTACTCATCTCGGACCCTCAATTATTTATCCCAAAATCTGTTTCCTTAGGTTTGGGAAGGTTCTTTTAAGTGTTAAAGCTTTTTAAACTAACTGCTAAAACTCTTCAATTTCAGTTTTAGATTTGTTTTCCCAAGCCTGGTGGCAATCTGATATGGATATTAATGAAACTTTTGTGCTGCAATATTTTTCTTTCAGAGCCCCACGATGGGCAAGTGTGAACCTGGGAATATTTATTTGCATGCAATGTTCAGGAATTCATCGTAGTCTTGGAGTGCATATTTCAAAGGTTTATTTGCCTACCTTTCATTTCTCTATTTCCTCTACTTCATATCCTTTTTTAGTCAGTAAACTTTTCTTGTTTTTATTCTTTCCTTCTCTGGCTTTTAAAATTCAGTTGGATTGGTACTAATGAGAAGTTATCGGGGAATGGCTTCACTCTTCATTATTATATAGTCATGTGAATGTAAAATTATGTTTGGTTACTGGCATAGCCTGAATGTACTATAAGCTATTTATATGTTCTGGCTACTGACCTGTTGGTTTACCAAAATTCAGTAATTTTCTTTATTTGATCATTAATCTGTCTGAATAGAATATGTCTCATATAATTGCAGCTCTATGTTCTAATGATAGCGTAGCCTGGTTTGTTTTTGAAATAGGTACGGTCTACTACTTTGGATACATGGCTGCCAGAACAGGTTGCTTTTATGGAATGTAAGAACACCATTCAGCTTCTCTCTCTCTCTCTCTCTCTCTCTCTCTCTCTCTCTCTCTCTCTATATATATATATATATTATCACCTATGATAGATGATCTATCTATCTATCTACCCCACATACATGCATGGTCATGTTATACAAGCATAAACACTCAATTTAGTAAGACAGGACTACACAAATTTGGTAAACCATACAAGCAGGCAACTTCTGTCATCATTGTTTATATGGTTCAGAAACATGGGCATTCCTACGGTAACTGGTGCATATGCATTGCTCTCATCTTAGTGATATATTTTTTTCCTCTATTTCCTTATTTTTTCCCTAAATAATTGGACTGAAGTAGCTGTTAGAGAACATCACTTCAGTATTCACATTTTTCTCAGGATGGTTTTTATCTCTTGTCTAACTGATTATTATGTTCTGATTCATTATCATACTAATCAACTTTCTGTGTATCTTTGCGTAGCTATGGGTAATGAAAAGGCAAACAGTTATTGGGAAAAAGAATTGCCGGCACATTTTGACAGAAGCGAGATCGAAAAGTTTATTCGTGCCAAGTAAGTTGTTTGGTGAAGCTAATTATGAGCTTTCATGTGCAACTTGAAGAATTTGTTATTTATTATTTCCTTTTGTTCTTAACTTTCTTAGTAACTTTCAGGTATGAAGGAAAAATGTGGGTTGCAAAGAATGCAAAACAACCGGCTCCTAAACCAGTTGAAATGAGCATCAGTTCCGACAAGTTGGTAAAAGGTGGATCTACAAGCGAAGTTCCAAAGAAAACAAGGAGACATTCTCTTGAAGAAGCAGTACTTTCTAAGCACCTGGGACACAGTGCTCCTTCAGTGGCAAGATCCCGTGGGGTAAATTTTGTATCTTATTAAGTTTTTTATTTTTTCTTGCTTAAAACCATTAATTTGTTTGTAGTTATTAGGTACGTAAAAATGTTTATTGCTCCTTCCTCGTACTTTGCATTCATAACTAGATGTCATTGATTAGGGTGCTTCTACCACTTGGTGTGTTTGTAGAATATTCCACTATAATTAGACTTCTTTATGCTTATTTCTGATCCTTAATTGAGTTGGGTCATGCTCATTCGTGGATCAATGAGGGAGCTTTAGAACTTGGCGGTTTAAAGCTGAGAGTAAGAAAGTCCAGATTCTTTCTGGGCGGGTTGCTTTCTTTGGAGTTTATGGGATTGTGAAATTAGGTCTGATGGTGAAGCATAAAGAAGTTTTACAATGTTGATTTTCCTAGTATTTTTTTATATAAATGATCTATCATTTGAGTTCATGGGTTGTTAAGTTGCTATTTGCCTCTGCCCTTTTTAATATACCTAACATACCATATTTAGGCCTCTCTTAAAATTGTCTTCCATAAAATTTCTTTATCCATAGCAGTTAACATATAATATGACTGATTTCGAGTGTCAAAAAGATAAAACAAAAGAGAAAGGTCACTACTTTCCAGGACCTATCTGCTTCTGCGATTTGATGTATGCCTTGTAATCTTTCATGTTTCTCTACGTGCTTTTTCAAATGTGTTTGTAATGCTCCTTTTGCTACAAGTCATTTTTTGTGGTACATTTGACAAGTTTAAGGAGTTCACTGGGTTAATATTTGTTTAGTTGGTTGCAGATTTCTTTAGATTTGAATCATAAGTTTACTTCTTCACCTCCACCAAATGGGCCACCACCTATGATGGAATGTGATACAGCCTCAAACAAGAGCAACGGTACAACAGATCTATTCAGCTTGCTTTATGTCCATGATGCAAAACAGGACTATCCCACTCCTCCACTCTGGCAAACTTTTGATTGTAAGAGAACTGGTGCTACCTTTTTTGAAAAAGAAATATTGTTATTTATTTAATATTTTTAGTTGGGTTTCTCAAGAAACTACTGAAATTGAACTCTGGGTCAGACTCAGACGTGGAAGCAGTCTTTCCTTTTTCAACCCAAAAAAAAGAAAAGCCGGATAAACATAAGCTTATCATGGCATTGGACTCAGCTCTGATCTTTGTTGAGGAGCTAATTTGAGGAGGTTATGTGAGGAGGCCCATCTCACCATCAAAAGGGGTGTGGACCCCCCAATGCACCCCCCCAATGTACTTTGTTTTTGGTTATTGATGGTGAGATTTCACCTCTTCAAATAAACTCCTCAAATTAGCTCCTCATTCTAGCCTTTCCGGGATAAACATAAGCTTATCATGGCATTGGACTCAGCTCTGACCTTTGTGATCATTCAAGATTTGCTACATTCTGAACTCTGAAATCCAAATCAATTTTTGCAGGAGAAGATATTTTTGAGTGAAGCCCATGGAATTACTGGAGTGGGCAGTGTGTATTCGTACCGTTTAGTTTTGACAGGATATATATATGTACCTCTTCACCAAGGTTTGGAGGCCCGTTTGGGCCTATGGACAAACACAAGAGAGGAGATAACCTTGTTGAATTTGAAATCTTTCCCCGATACCAAAAGACTTACCAACCAAACTACCTGTCACGTTTGCATCTAATGTTCGTACTAGCATCTGAGAGGAATGGTTTTGTTTTGCATTATGTACTGGAATGAATTCCATGCTGTAAATTATTTGATAAGATCCCAGTAAATATAGTGTGTATTGCAATACCTTAATGTCCTGCATCTTCCTCTAGACCTTAATGTCGCAAATGTTGTGTGTCAAAACTTTCCATTATAGTATACCTTCCAGTTTGGCAATTCTTCTAACAATTGCAGCAACTGCATCATCTCGAGAAGGAGGAAGTAGGTTTCTTTAGATTATGGGTCAAACTTAGCCTTCATTATTAGATTGTGTATGAATTATTATAGGGTCAAATTTGCCGACAAATGTTCTTGAGCTGTTAATTAGAATGCACGCAGAGATACACACACACACACACACATATATATATATACTTGAATTAGATGCTTGGCCAACCAATCAACCACTTAAAACAAGTAGCGTTTGTTGTCTTGGCCTCATCCCTCATCCCTCATGGCTCATGGATTGGGTTCATTTTTATACCAGAGAATGTCAGAAAAACAATAATTGTATGCTATTTATTTATAATTATAATAAACTCAACTCAACTCAACTCTTGTTAAATTAAAACAAATGACCTGTCCGAACGGGCTTGGCAGGCTTGACCCATTTGCCTCTAACTTTCCCAACATTATTATTATTATGATTATTATTCCAAGCAATAACAGTGAAATGACATCTCAACTGTTCTCTCCTTCGTTCCTTCCTGATCACTGTCAGTGATCACATCTTCATTCTTCTGATACACATGGCTTGTACAAAGAAAAGAACTGAACTAATAGGACTGATGCATGCATGCTCTCTGTGCTCTGCAGAATGATACACATATATACACAATGCATGGCAATGGCATACTATTTTATATATATATATATATATATACACTTCTCTTTTATTGAAGGATTGTATATGCTAAGTCCACGATTCTGTAGCCATATATATAATGAAAGACAAGGACGTAGCAAATTAATAAAGATTGTATTTGAAAGAAAGGGGAAGTAGGCCAAGGTTGTTAGCCCTTCCCTCATACATAATACATATATATAGTTGGTCTTTGGAACCAACTGTGTGGAAGTGAGTGAGGACTGAGCACCAAGAAAGAAACTATTAATTTGACTTGGCATGCAAGGGGGCATAGTAAAATGTCAAACAAAATTAGAACACGACATTTCTTATAAGTATAAATATATGTACTTATGACCAAAAAAAAAAAAGTATAAATATATGTACAAGAAAGTACAAGTGCCCAACCTATCCAAAGCAAAAGAGTTTTGGTTTTCTGTTTTGTCCTTGCGTTTTTTATCTTGTGGAGGAGGACCAGGACCTCCTCTCCTGGTATCTGGTAAGAGACACACTAATTAATTCATTCATTCATTCAGGGCATGGCCAGTGGCCCTTCCCTCATACATAATACATATATATAGTTGGTCTTTGGAACCAACTGTGTGGAAGTGAGTGAGCACTGAGCACCAAGAAAGAAACTATTAATTTGACTTGGCATGCAAGGGGGCATAGTAAAATGTCAAAGAAAATTAGAACACGACATTTCTTATAAGTATAAATATATGTACAAGAAAGTACAAGTGCCCAACCTATCCAAAGACAAGAGTTTTGGTTTTCTGTTTTGTCCTTGCTTTTTTATCTTGTGGAGGAGGACCAGGACCTCCTCTCCTGGTATCTGGTATTTGGTATTTGGTAGTTCTCTCAATCATAGAACCATAGATTACTGTATCATAATTTAAACTTATTGGTGGTTTTGGTATAGCATAGCAGGAATTAATATATCTTTACCATCACATATATAATATTATCTTGGGTTAAATTCTCGTTAATTAATCAACTCTATACATGATTTAGTGATTAATTTGCATTAATTCTCTTCAAATATAAAAGATATATAGGTTTCTTTTCTTTTACGGAACTATTTAAAAGGTGCAACGCAATGCAACAACACTTGGTAAGTTCAAGAGAGAGAGAGAGCACTGTGCTTTGAAATGCTCGTGTTATATTATATGGTGCTGTGGAAATAATTATATTGGATAAAGAAAGAGGACAAGTTAATGGCACCAGAAGAAGATATTTAGGGTGATGGAGAAAAGAAATCATGAAAAGAGGGGCCACCCACACACCCACACACCCACACACCCACACACCCACACACCCAACAACAACATATAATAATTATATAAGAATAATATTTGGTGAAAATACGCAAAAGCGCAATATTAGTGCTTAGCTTAGCTTGGGAGCAAAGCAGGTGCCGCCCAGCAAATTGGGGGCCTAGCCTTCCAGCCCAAGCAAGCAATTTATAGACGCTTGCTCAGTACAAGACCACTCCAATTTTAGACTTGAGGGGTGGGGACCCATTCAGCCAGCCATTATTCACAATTCAAATGATTCAATAAAGATCATGAAACATCCAAATCCATGTTAGATTGTTAATATATTAAAATTTGAGCTGAGCACAGGTTCCGTACTATACCACTTTAATCAGCCATAGAATTGTCACTCATGTCTCAAATTAAATACAGTGTTACGGAAAATCACTAGTGTAACCGAGCCAAACCAAACCAATCCCGAATCTTGTAGGTTAGATATGTTTTGACAATTCAGTAGTTTTTATGCCCATCAGCCTAATCATGATGAGCTTTCCTTGTGTATAATAGTACTAGTGACAGTGAGAGAAGAAGTTAAAAGGAGAGCCAGGGCCATCGGCCACTTGGCAATTGGGTAATGGAAAAGGTTAAACAAAAAGGGATAGGGCGCCGCTTGGTGGAGACTCACCACTAGCGCCTCTCTCTGGCTAATGTGGTTTGGTTTCTAGTGGATGGATGCCTCAACACAACTCAACATATTTGAAATTACTAATTAGGAATAGGAAGGAGGCTTTTATATATATAGAATAGAGCCCCCTAGCTACTACCAATGTGTCTCCATCTTGCTAAAAGCTCGAAGAATAGTGCATTCCATTGCTAATAAATTGTTACTGGAATGGACAGCACTGGTTGGCTTATCCCTTGGCTTACCATTCCTAGGTTGCAGAGCAGTGTGCAGGTGTATATGTATATAAAGTTCTGGGTTCAATTGTAATAATTATTACAAGTTTCTGATTAGGTATTAACTGAACCTCAACCTCAACTCAAGATGATCACCTCACCTGCATTATCGCATTATCGCATACATACCATATGGAACATTCCATTCCATAATGATATGGAATTGTTTAATCTTGCTGCCGATCCAAAGAAAATTGAACTGGCAGTCAAAGTCAAAGTGGAACCTTCTCAAACCATTTTAAAATGGTAGAGAGAGCTGGTTAGTGGTAACTTATAAAATCAGTCTTTGGACAAATTTCACCTATCTATTATTCTATACTGCAAATATAATTGTTACACGACACCTGCCTGCCTGTATTTTTAATATAATATATATGGAAAAAGAAATCTCAATAAAGATAGAGATAAGGTTTTTCAATTCTTTCCTTTTGACTCTTTTTGCATATGATAAAGTTTTTTCATTATATTTTTGTCTAGGCTCTCTGATTTTTGAATTAAAAGGAGGATTAGAGGAATTCAAACTTGAGACTTGTTAGCTAGTCTGATTCATAAATATAAAGAAATAATATTACAACATCTTGAATTCTATTGTTTTGACTAGGGCTACAGTTATAAAAGATGTATGTATGTTTGCGCAGCATCATCAAATGAAAAAGGAAATACTCAAGAGCATGAGCAGATAGATGACTGTTGGCCATGACCACTGATGATGGCTGATGATGGAGACAGCCAGCCAGCACCTAGCTAGTACTAGTGAGTGATCCATCCATCCATGTGTGAAGAAGATATGAATTTGTTCAACGACAGCAAAATATATATACCACTTACTGAACTTTCATCTCTCTTAAAGTTGATGTTGTGAATTCAATGTCTTTGTAAATTATATTGTAGCTAGCTCTCATAGCAGCAAGTGACGTTGTTTGGATAGCTAAGTTTTAGTAATTTTATGGGTCATCGAAAATGGGTGGGTACTGGGTACTTCAATCAAATCAATGCATGCTCTTCTGAACTGAATTGACGGTTCCCAAACTTACACCAAGGCCTTAGTTGTCTGTCTGTCTGTCTATCTGTCTGTCCCACATAATCTTGAATTTTCTTCATCAGTCTCGTCCTCCTTGTCATTCCTCATCTCTTACTCTTGTTGGCAATATAAGAATGAGAGCCTCTGCAATAAGGCAAGGCAAGGCAGTACATATAGGAACAAACAAAAACAAAACAAAACAAAACAATGAGAGCCTCTGCAACTTTTTGGGATATAATGATGACGACAAGGAAGGAAGACTCTATCTACTACATGCACAATCAACTCTTGAGTGATTAAGTGAAGGTGAAGTGACAAATTTTAAGACGGATCGATCGATCGAACCGGACACTAGTTTAAATCAATGAACTCTGTGTTTGCCTTTATCTATATATTTATATTCACATAATTACAACAACAATATGTATATAAATAAGGAAGCATGAAAAAATCAATGGATCGAGATTGAGTGAGTAATTGGAATGGAATCACATAGAAAATGACTAGTTGGAGACTCTGCATGCACACAGCTCAATTAATCAATGAGATAATACTTACTGATACATTTGTTGGGGTTTGGCAATGGCATGCACAGCACAGAGTGGCTTTTGTTGCGTAGCTAGTGAGCTATCACTATTAGTTTGATGAGGAATATTTATATAAATATTTCAAAATAATAAAGATATATAAAAAGAAAAGGAAAAAGGGTGGCTTGTAGGAAGGAAGGAATTAAGAAAGCTCGAGAGCAGGCAGCCTAACGGTGGTTGGGGTGGCTACTGAGTGCATGGCTGTGAGTGTTCCCTGGGCTCAGACAAGAGAGAGACCCCAATGCCGACAATCTGACCCTAAACCTAAATACTAATTAATGATAATTCCTTCATTCATTATTTCAATTTGTAATAATTCAGTCAGCTAAACAATTAAGTTTGTGCTTTTGAGTGGGCTTAACTTAACTTAACTTAACTTAACTTTACTTAAGGGTATGCAAATTCATTAAAGTAGATATCTGTGTCAGTAAAAAGAAAGAAAGGCATAGCCTAGGTTTGACATTTATATATACGACATGGCTCTGCGGTAATGAGTTGGCCACTCATCAATACGACATGGCCGCGGATGAAAGCGGCGCGTTTATGGAGATTAGATTTTGGTTTAAATATCCTTCACTTTTTTTCTAAGATGAACTTGTTGGGCCATGACCATAATAAAGTAAACATACAAACGGACAAGTAATAATGAAATCTTAAACGTCAAATAATTCAGCAGAGGATTTGAACATTGGATGGCAGAGATTTGATCAAGGAAGAATAGTTGTTAGGAGTTTAAGCCCTGCCTCTCACACACACATACATAAAGGCAAAGGCCATTTCGTGCATTTAAGCCATGCCTTGCCTTTGCCTTGTGGGCTTTTTGGTTTCTTCTACTCTGCCTGAGACTCTCCTCCTCCTCCTCCTCCTCCTCCTCCTCCTCCCTGGCTAGCTACTACCTAGTAGTGGTCTTTCCTTTCATTTCATATTTCATATATAGGCAGCAGCAGCAGCAGCAGCTGGTGTCTGGTATATGTTAGTACCTTACCATAACCATTGGGAAGTTGAGTAGAGATGCAAAGTCCCTCTGCAAACTGCATCCAATCTTTGCTTTACTTCCTGGCCATTCTTAGCTGTTTATGAAGGTCAACCTTAATTTCATATGTTCCTTTTCACTCTCTCTTTCTCTACCAGGTAGCAGCTGCTCACTCTCACTTCAATTTCATTTCAAAACTTTTTTCTTCTCTTTTTTTGTGTGCATATAATATGTAGGAGGAAAGGAGTGATCCAACTTTTTATGTGATCCTGTAATTCCTAGCTAAGCTACTTTCTCCTTCCTTAACCTCTGCTGAACCATTTTTCATCAAGTGGCAGGTAGACACTTCTTCTTCTCTTGAGACTTGAGTCTTCAGTCTTCAGTCTTGAACCTTGAGGTCTACAAACCAGCAATTATATTTTTTTTTAATGCTGATTTAGGAACCCTCCCTTTTGCTGTCTCTCTGATCCACCTCTTCTTTGTATAGTATAGTGTATCCAAATTCCAAGTCCCTGTGTTAAAATGGCGGTTTTAGATGCTATTTCGGGTCTCTTTTGTTGAGCAGGAGCAGAGCATGTGGTTTTTGACACATTCATGCTTGTTTCTTTCTTTCTTTCTTTCTTTCTTTCTTTCTTCTTCATAGCATTAATCTTCCACAAGTTTATTAGACTTGATTGAATTTAAATTTCTCAATTATCTCAAGATCGGTTTGTTTTGAATTTCGGAGAGAAAGCAATCGGATCAGGAAACATGACGGTGGATGTGTTGAAAAGAGCAAGATTGGAAACAGCAATCTGGGCTGCAAAGCTGTTACTGCTTTGCGTAGGGACAGTCTCCACTTTGGTATTCTTCAAAGCGGCAATCATTCCTTACCTTCTGAATCTCACTGTTTCCATTGTTCCCCAGCTATGGACCTCTTTCAAAAGCTGCTTCTTATCTCCACTTTACATCTACATCATCCTCAACTTCATCATCATCACCATTGCTGCCTCCTCCACCTTCCAAAACCAAAAGCAACACCAGCAGCACTCCTCTTCTTCTTCTTCTTCTTCTGTAGGCTTCAGCTCCTTCATTAGTGACAATGCAGCCAAAACCGCCGACAATATTGACAGTGGTAACAATTATATCTATAGTCCAGACAACAACAACAACAACAGCATCCAATCCGAGTCTCTGTCCCAGCAGCAACAGCAGCAGCCCAAAATCCAAAGTCTTTCCAAAGAGGATGCAACTGCTCTATTATTTTCTCCATCCTCTCATGGCCACCCGAATAATGAAATGATGAGCTGGCATGACATACACATAGTACAAGCTGATGATGGCAAACAAGAAGCAGCAGCAGAAGATGATGATGATGATGATCAGGGATTTGACCCTTCACCGGAAATGTCCTCCGGCGACTACTTGTCGAAATCTGTGGAGATGCCGAGGCTGGAGGTGGAGGTGGGAGAGGATATTAACACACTGGACACCACATGGAAGGCCATCATGGAGGGGCAAGGCAAGGCAATTGGTAAGCACCTAAAAAAGAGTGACACTTGGGACACCCCTCCTCGCTTAACCGAATTGGCCCTCACAAGGACTAAATTCAAAGGGGGTCTTGACCATCAATTACAATTACATAACTCTAACTTAGATGGTGATGATGATGATAATGATGATGATGGTCATGGAGAGGATGATGCAGTGACATGGGCTCGGAGGGAGCTGAAGAAATCAGACACTTTTAGCGACAGGGTGTCGTTGAGAAGGGAAAAGTCCATGACTCAGGAAGAGTTGAACCAGCGAGCAGAGGCGTTCATCAAGAAGTTCAACAATGACATGAGGCTTCAGAGGCTAGAATCTGATCAACGCCGTTTCAGGGAGATTGTGAACGGTGGCCTCTAGCTTAGCTTCTCTTAATGTAATGATATATATGCTTATTAATTTTGGTGTGTTTGTACTTTGTTTATCTTCATGTAAATGCAAATTTTGTGTGTTGTTGTTGAATGCTATATAACCTATAGACTAAAGACTACTAAAGACTATAGACTAAAGACTACTAAAGACTATAGACTATAGACTATAGACTATAGTATAGTTTGCTAATGCTTGCAAGTAGTAAACTAAATAGATGTAGAAGAATATGAGAGAATCTCAGAGTCAACTTTGAAGGTACATCACATTCACATTCCTATCACTGGTTATTTTCATTCAAGTTTTATCAGTAGAGCTCAGAGTCAGAGCTCCCATGTGTGCGGAGTTTGCATTTGCTTTAGTCAGTCCGTAGTGGGTTAGTACAGAGTGAGTACCTTTTGAATTTATAAAGGGACATAGAAGAAACAGAGGTCCCCTTAATTTCCTTGACCAAGGTAAGGTAGGAGTAGGAATCAGTATTGGAAGAAGAAGAAGAAGAAGAAGAATCACATAATGGAACTTTCTCCCATGCTTGTGCTTGAGTTGAGCCTAATAAAGACTTTTTGGGCTCTTGATGGGGATGGAATATGGACATTGAAATTGACCCAACTATTAATATTGGGTCCATCGACCCACTACCCCCACAAAAAAAGGGAAGGGAGTGAGCATCGTGGATTTTGCTGGTGAAGAAGTAACTATTGGGTGCCAACTCAAATTCAGAGGTGGTCGGTTGAAAGCGCCACCAGCCACTAGCTGCTTCTATATGATATGAAGCCCCAACACAGAAAAAGAAAAAGAAAAAGAAAAAGCATTTCAGAATTTGGGATGATTACGTTAAGTCACGATAGATAGACGGGAAAACTTTTATATTATCAAATGCTAGACATTTTGATAACCTTCAATAAATTGTCTTCTTTTTGTTTTTTGTTTCATTCTTCATCAATACACCTTTTGGTAGTAGCATTCGTTTTGCTTGGCAGAGAAAATGGAGGTTTAAAAGTTCACCTGACTGGGCCTCATAAACCCAAAGGAAAGGAAATGATAACAATTGAGTGAAGATAAGTAGAAATTATTTGTACTGAAAAAAGAGAAAAAGTAGAAATATCAAGGCTATGTAACATACATGAATATGAGTTTGGTGTGTGTGTGTGTAAGATTGTAATTGAAATGAAAATGGTGAATTTGAGAAAATAATATTGTGTGAGTTGAATTCATATAACTAAGCAATTGGTGATTGTTCATACTAGAAGTAGACAAGTAAGTAAGTAGTAAAGAGGGATCAAATCTATCAAATGGGTTGGCAGTGCCAAACATATCATCAGCCTTGTAATAATATTTGCTGCATGCAGAGTAGAGTAGAGTAGAGTAGAGTAGAGCTATTTGGTATTTGGTATTTGGTATTTGGTATTTGGTATTTGCAGGCAGGCAGGTAGGTGATGGATGATATTTGGTATTTGAAGATTAGAGTAGAGTAGAGTAGAGCTATTTGCTTGCTATCCTATCCTATCCTATCCTATCCTATGATGCAGAGTGCTCTGCAACTGCATGCATAGTGAAGAAGACAACTACTAAAAAAGCAGCACCAGCAGCAGCAGTAGTACTAGTAGAAGAAGTCTTGGCTGCTACGGCATCATTATTATTGGAGTAATTAGAATCTGCAGGCGGAGGAGAAGGCTGCATCATCCCATGGCTGCTGTTGTTATTGTCGTTTGGATGATCATGATGATGATCATAAGTAGTAGGAGGAGGAGCAGTGGGCGAGGTTGCATTATTAGTCATAAGCTGTGCAGGGAAAACTTGGACATGGAGCTTGAGGCCCATAGCGCAATGTCCCAGCCGCCCACATATGAAGTACCTGTTTCCTACTTCCTTCAGCTGGATCACTGTCTCCCCGTCGTCGTGCGTCTCCATTGGGTCCACTGTGTGACACCTATCGTAGTCTGTTTTCTTCACTTCCAGCACATCGTGCACCGGTGTGTACCTGAACACTGCCACACTCACCCATCCACCACCATCAATCATGCATACAAGGATTCATTTCAAAATGATTAAGCAATTAATAAGTTTCAACCTTTTTCTCTAATTCCAATATCCACCTACCTCCCTCTCTCTATCGAATGCCTATATCCTATATAGCCTATACCCCATATGCCCTGTTTTGTTTCTCTTCACCACCTCAATTCCTCACTCACAGGAGCCTACCATCAAACAGTTTCATATCATTTTACTACACATTACAATTTAGGGAGCGTTTGTTTGGTAATCAAGAAAATCAAAGAAAATAAAGTGAAAACAAAAACAAAAACTCGCATCATCTTCAAATTACTAAATCAAGAAAATCATAATCTTTCTTTCCCTTGTCATTTTCCGACCAACCAAGCATATATACTGAATTAAAGATGAAGCTAATAAAGAAAGGCAGAGATGGATGGATGAAGGTAGAAAAACAGAGTAAAAGGATGATTAAATTAAATTAGATACGTACCAAGAGAGTCGCCGACATGGAAAGTGGCGTGAGTAGCCCATGCTTGGAGATTAGAGGAGAGATCCCAACCCGAAGCACCGCCAACAGAGTGGTTGGTGTTGATCGTAGAAGCAGCAGCAGCAGCAGCAAAAGCAGAGACGCAACGGAACCACATGGATGTGAATATCACCACAACGATCGCCTTCACTGCCAATCCTGCTCTCACTCCTCCCTTCATCTTTTCAATCTGGATCGAAATTATATAGTATTCTTTCACAATCCTGGTCACCGAAATCATCAGCAACCAAACCAAACATGCATGCAGATGCAGTGCTATTAATATTATATATATATATCAATCAAACATTTAATGAATTAATGCCTTGTATTTATTTATACATAATATCACATTAATTAAAGAAAACAAGAACAATTTGCTGATCAAGAAAATAACCAACCAAATTACACACTGATTTGAAGATAAACGCATTAGACTTCAGTTACATATATATAATAAATTAGATGAAGAAAATCTTCACAAGAAAGAAACTGAAATTGAAACGTCAATGGAAGTCAAAGAAAGGCAGCAGACTAAATTTCCTTTCTCAAATAATGCGTACGTACTTTTGCGGTTCTTGATTCGTTGAAATGATGAAAGAAAATCGTCCAACTTTTCTCACAGCGCCTGTCACTCAAACGAAGATGACGACGAGCGAGAGTGTATAGTGAATGAGTAGAAGAAAGTTCTAGAATATTAATAAATGCTGGAGAAGCGAAGCGACGAATTGCTCAATCGATTGGACAGCGTACTAGTAGCTAGCATTGTATTGGCTCCTTCCTTGCGAACTTTTAGTTAGTTATAGAGAGAGAGAGAGAGAGAGAGAAAGGTGGCACACTGTCGTTGTTTCTCTTCTGGTGAGAATTCTGTTATAGGAAATGCCACGTGTCCCTCGTTCTATTTCTATTATATTATTCATGGTGCCATTGGTGCGTGCGTGCGTGACAAGCCCACATCATTTACCAATCATCGCCTTCAAAGTCCACAACATATAAACCCACTATAAATTGTACTTGTTGTTAAATAATTAACATTTAAACTCCGTTCAAATCATGATATAATATTTTTCTTTTTAAATGGTTAATCATTGTATTTTGATCCAACAATTGGCCCTAATACAGCATTTTATACTATATTATTATTAATAGACTATCGATATGTATTATATAATAATTATTGTTTTAACCCGAATTCATAATTAATACTAATTTCATGTATTTTTGTACATTGAGTTGATATAATACATCACTTCACATGTGTTAAACTTAAACCGGTGGATTTGAATCTAACACGATTTTAGAAAGTTATGCACTAATTAGATTTAAATTGGAGTGTCTATGTTCTACTTGATTGAAGTCGGCTCTCAAATTCAAACTCGAATGTAACTCAAATAATTAGTAGCATTTAAAACCAACAAATTTATATTCCATTGTCTTCTCCAAAAATCCAATTATATTCCGAATTGCACCCAAGCAATGACCAAATTACAAGATACTTATTATTTTGGTTGAAAATTACAAGCAACTCCAGATTCCAGAATAATGAAGATTATTTTATATTTTTAAGTCGGCACAAATTACACACACCAATCTATGGTCGCCGGCCAAATAGTCCAACCTCACTCACTAGTCACTTGCCAGTAAAGCCACAGGCCCAAGCTACTGTTTTGTCCTGAGTTCCCCAAATTAAACACAATACCGCATCAGAGATTCAGAGAGAGAAGAGGGAGGAGGCTGGGATGGCAACGACGTCGTCTCATCCGAAAGAGGAAGTGAAGAAGAAGAAGAAGAAGGAGGGATTGGGATGGATAGAGTGGGCAAGGGGTTGGTTGTATCTGGTGTACGAGATGCTGTTCCAGAGAATCACGGCCAGCCACTTGCAAAACCCCATGCCTTTGCCTCCTGTCAACGATCTCACTTGCATTGTCACTGGATCCACCAGCGGTATCGGCCGCGAAATTGCCAGGTCAGAGTCTCCTTCCTTCAAATCTACAAAGATTGATGAGTTCATTTCATTTTCTTTTTCAGTTTCTTTGTTTGTTTTAGTAATAACTTAACTCACTATGCAAGATTGGGTTGGGGTGTCCTCCTGTTTGGTTGCTGAGAAAATGATACAAAAGAAATTTGGTCCCAATTTCAGTTTTGAATTTTGAATTAGACCGAGTGCCTGAACATGAAAACTGAAAAGGATGTGTGGTCTGGTGGTCGTTATTATGTACTGAACAGGCAGTTGGCGGAAGCTGGGGCGCATGTTGTGATGGCAGTGAGGAACACGAAAGCAGCTAATGAGTTGATCCAGAAGTGGCAGAATGAATGGACTGGAATGGGCCTTCCTCTCAATATTGAGGTCTGCCTCAACTCCATGTTGCAACACCTTTAAATCAATAATTTTTTTTTTTTTATGAACTTAGGGGTGGTAAAACCCCAGAAAAACAAACCCACTAAATCAAATTTATAACATTTATTAACGTAGAATAAGATTGTGACTTTTTTAGGTAATGGAACTTGATTTGCTCTCCTTGGATTCTGTCGTGAGATTTGCTGAAGCGTGGAATGCACGCTTAGGACCTCTCCATGTTCTTATCAACAATGCTG